GGAGTTCTCACACTGAGGCAGTGACAGCAGTGGTCCTCACCAGAGCGTGGATATAATTTTTCAGTGGTTGGCTCTGCTTTTACTCCTAGGCAGAGCTCTGCAGACTGCTTCAAACTTGGCTGTTTAAGAGGGGGGAAAAATAGGTTAGCCAAGTTTTTTATCCAGACTTATCTGATGTTTTTGCCTGCTTTGCCTCTTCCTGACTTCCTTGTCCTAAGAAAACAGCTGCCTTTGGCCTTCTAAGGGGAACTTTTATGTAATGCTTGAAAAAACAACAACAACAAAAAAAGTGAGTGTCTTATTTTTAAAGCTTCAGCCAAGGAGAGACATTATCGCGGCCTTTCCATCCCCACTGCATGCAGAGCTGTGGCACTGAGCCAGCTCTGCTCCTCCTCCATTTTGTTCTCAAATCTGCAGGGAGGACTGAAGGTTACTTTGCTTTTCCATTGTTCTGGTTTTCCTGCAGGAGATCTTTTCGTGCCATTAGCCCTTGGTGGAAAGGGCCTTCCTGCCTCACGCGCTGTGTGACAGGTTACACAAGCTGCAGCAGCCTTCGCTCCAGCTGGGAAGGGGTTTCTTCTTCTCCCAGAGGAAACCCAGCTCTGCTGTGCTGGTGGCTGCACACATGCTGGGAAGAAGTCATCTCTGTCACACAGGGCTTGCATATAGTTCTGTAATAGTATTTAAGCACCTAACGTGGCTCCCACTGAACTTGAGAGAGCTGGGCACACAAACAGATTTTTGCTTCTGATGCTGCAAAGGATGAGAGGGCATCTGTGGGAGAGGGGTGCGTTATCATCTTTAATATTTACTTTGCAGAGATGCAAACGCCCGAAGGAAGATTTTTATCATTGCAAAAGTTTGCCAATGGTAATTGCACGGTACAAAATTTCAGTGCAGGGAAACAAAGTCATCAAAAGCATGCTGGCTAAGGCTAAGCGTGCAGACAAAATCATGACGACCATAGTCAACTCTCTGTTGTCACAGTTTAGGTAAAGCAGGTGCCCACTATCTTGGCGAGGTCACTGATGGCTCTGAAGGACATTGACAAGGCCACCAGATCGAAGAAGAGGACTGGCAAATTTCAGCCATAAATGATAAAATGCAGTTGAAAGATTTTGCTCCGCTCAACACCGTGATGCTCGGCTTTCCACAGATATTGTAACAGGTTGGTTTCGCCATCAATGAGAAGACAAAATGTGTGGTTATATAGTCCTAAAAGTAACCAGCTGAGCGAAGAAAGAAAGAGGAAAGCCAAGTGGTTCACCATCGTTGCTGATGTAAGAACAAGGGGTAGCAAGTCAGGGTATCAGTGTTCAAAAAACAAAAGGAGATAGTTAATCATGAAGTGGCTCAGAGGCCTATGGAAGTCATTGCTGGAGGATGATGTGGACACAAACAGCTTACATAGGCTCAAGGAGAGGCTCAAAGGCATGTGGAGAAGAAATCCTCTAAGGGTCACTAAAGATGTAAAGTCACATCCCCATCAGGAAATTCTTGGATGAAAAATATTTACACGAAGAGGGAGCAGTACTGTATATGCTTGTCCTTTTATTTCTGTCTTTCAGGTTTAGATGCCTTTTGAAGTTTTAAAAATAGTCTTTAAAAATAATATTAAGTAGTATTAAAAGTAGCATATTTACACTATCGCAGAAATAAGAATTACCAACAATGGAGCCACATCAGTCCTTATGGAGCAGAGCCACAGAAACCCGTAACAGAAACTTGATATATCCTATCAAGTCACTCCACAGTGAGTACAAACTTCTATATGAGTTGGCAGTTCAGCTCCTTTACATCAGAAATCTAACTAGGACAAACAAACCTCGGGCACCACAAATGGCAAGATAATAAGAGACACATTGAGGACATGCCTTAAGAATATCACCGATATGACTTCCACATCAAGCAATAGTATGGATGCAGCCTTAAAAATCACTATAGAAAGCTGCAGACAAGTTGTCTAAAGCTTACATAACAGTAATCAAAAGCTTAAATAGAATAGGACACATCTAAAACGACTAGAAGACATTGGCAAATACCCTATATATTTGACACTGAGGTAGGACAAGGGGGAAGAGAAGGTGACTGCTCCCTGCACTCTTCAGTGGGCCAGTTTCCATGGAGAATTGTATTCCTGCAGCCCAGTGCATGTTTCTTACTTGGCCTGTGTTCAAGTGCATGCTAGGAATCACCAGATTCTGGGTGGATTTTTTGGCTGCATAGTCTGGACAGTTCCAGACACAGAAGTCCAGAATAGAATCATGTGAGATGTTTTATTTAGCTGTATGGCTTTTATCACTTGTATCATGGTTCCTTTGAACAACTGCACTGTGTCAGGTAGTCAGTGGGTTTTGGACCAAATCTTAGTAGCAAACTCTAACTTACAACAGATTATTGATCTACTGCAAATTGTTTTACACCTGCACACCTCAATCACCAAAATTTTCAGTGCAAGAATCTACAGGGAATGAGAACCTGAAGAAATATGTCTGCAGCTTTTTCATCTAGCTGGGCCGGAACTACCAGGCTGGAAAGTAAGATTTTGTTGGGGTGATGGCATTGCATTTTTGGAGGAACCCAACTATGATTATTTATCCTTTTCTATCCTTATCTTTTCAGTGATATGTGTCTTTTGTAGAGAAAGAAGTTCTTACATTTGTGTGAAAAGATTGCATCTTTTCAGAGCTCATCTTGAGCCAGCCTAAAAAACTAGTCTGGTAGAAGTAGAGATAGGCAGATTCAGTGGAAATTGTGCACACAGAAGCTCTTGTCCATCATAACAGAAATTAAAGGATATCAGGCAATGAAAATAGCATGCTTAAAATGCAGACCTAATGAATGTACCTTATGAAATTTTTTATTTAGCTATGTGGTCTCTCTCTGAGCAGCTGGCTTGATGAAACAGCTAATCCTTTGTAAGTGGAAGTGATATTCAGTTGCACACATAGACCCTCGGGTATGGATTTATTGCTTACACACAAGAATAGTTAGATTTGCTGTAATAGGATCAAGATGCCAGGCACAGTTTATATAAACATATATTTTTAATATATATTGTCCTTTATGTTACAAAAATCTAGTTGGATAAATCATTGCAGACAACACTGCTGGGGAAAGAGCCATTCCTTCTCAAATCTATCCAGTGTTAATTTGTTTCGGTAGATTTGTACCACCTGACATCTTTGCAGTAATGGTCTGATGTATTAAAGCATGCACACAGTTAGCTCTAAGGACATTTTTCGATTGTCTTTCATATTCAGCAAACATGGCAGCACCAAGGTTTAAACAGTGAGTTCTTAACAGTGGTACAATGAACTCCTGAGGGGCTTTCCACTCACAGGAGCTGGCAGGCTGCTTTCCACAACAGTTAGGTAACTCCATGCTAGGAGTACTTTTGGAAGCCTCCTTTAACCTTTAATCATAAGAAGCTGACCTGCTTGGAAAGACGATGTTTGAAAGCCTGTCAGAATCCATTTGAACACATTGTTATCCCAGCAAAAAGTAGGAGTTTAAAAACAGCAGACGAGCTGATACTTCTAAGCCTTCCCTATGCATCTTGGCTATGTCAAGATAGGCATCTGAGGAGAAATACGTATGCCCTGAAGATGTAGTTCAAGAACTTTTGGACGGATAATTGATTAAAATAGTCTTTGCATGGAGGGTAAAAGCAGGTCACAGGTGCTTCTTCTGAACTGAGCAGCAAGGATCCATTCATTAGCTTTCTAGTTAGGATCAAATAACAAAAGTGTTGATGCAGTGTTTGCTGGCTACAGGAAAAGCAGCAGTAAAAGAGAAAAAAGGAATGGAGATCAGAAGGGCATAACACAGAGAGACTGTAGAGTGTTTGCTATTTCATACAAGAGGTCCTACAAGCCACAGTAGGTGCTTGGGATCTGTGTATGTTAGTTTGAAATCAGTGGATCAGCATAATTGAGGATGCTTAGTTCTGCCAGTGTAAGCTAATAGGGGTTCTTTAAATAACAGCCTTGTAAAGGTGCAAGTTGCATCTGTCCCCATGCTGGGCCAGCTAGAGTCCAACGAAAACAGCCAATGAAACAGTCCAACGAAAACAGCCAAACAGTCCTGTGTCTGGGCTAGTTTGCCTTGCCATTAAACTTTCTTCACCTGGTAAAGTGGCAGTGACAATTCCATGTGCTACCTGAAAAAGTCCATAGCACCTCTGGCCAGGGATTAAGCCTTAAATAGCCCTTGTTCTGGAAAACAAAGGCACGTTACAGAACAGTTTATGTGTAGTGTAAGTGGAGCTTAGAGACAGAACAGTCATGCCTCCTGTTATTCTCAGCTTTGGTGTGGGTGGATTCACACCCCATTGACTACTTGTATGAGACTTTAAAACCCTGTCAATGGCAGAGATGTTTTCTAAAACCTTCCTGCCTTTGTTAGCACCAGCTCAGATTCACGGAATCCTGCAAGCTGGAGGTGATCAGCCACCAGCAACGGATTTAACGCCATGGCAATTACAACTCATAGATTAGATTGGGGCCTGATGACATGGTGTTAAGAATGCCTGTGGCAACCCGCAACCTGTCTCTCTTAAGGCTGCTTACAAGCCAGAAGAGATTTCGCCTGTTCCATAATATTATGTGCTTTTACATTTTACAGAATGATTAGCCACAGAACCTTTAAGAAAAGGAAAGGATTGTTGAAGACTCCTACTGCAAGTAATAGCTATCCAAGGGAGAAGAAAATTATATCCAATGCCTCTGAAAATCCCATTGGAGCAGACTGCAGAACTATTTCTCCAGGCACGATAGTTTAAGAAAGAAATAAATGAAAAAGTAGTGTAGAAATAGAAATAAATTCTACATTTGGTGTCTGAGTGCACATATGCAGAACGGGCATTGCACATCTCAGGTACCAGGCCTGCAGACATAGTACAGCAGTGAGGGGAACGGGAGAGACAGGAAGGATAATTTCCTTCTGAAGTAAAGGTTTTTTTGATCTCTCGTCGTGGGCAATTCAGGGAGGAATGGTTTTGCTCTTACCTTCTTAAAGATGTTTTACTGTGCAGAGTGCAGGAAGAGCACATGAGAAATCAAACTGACCCCAGAGCTGTGCAGTTCCTGCCCACGCACCGTGTGTTCAGCGAACATGTGTACGTATCTCTGGGGCATATGTAGTTCTTTGGCAGCTCATACAGGACCTGCAGTGAAAAAGTCTGTCTTAAAAAAGCACAAAAAGACGCAAGTATTTCTGTAATAAGAACATACGCTCCTCCTCTGCCGCTCATCCTTGGCTACATGAGGATTTTTCCAGCAGATGGCAACAGCAGACCAGTTTGTAGTGGGAGACCAGCGTCTGCAGGCTGCAAAAAAGCTCTCTGTGCTACACTGTACCCAGCACACCTTCCTCAGATCTGCCTCTTCCCCTCCCTGTGCCAGCTTAGTACCTTAGTACATGCCTGCTAAGTACCCCAGGGCTCAGTTAATAACAGGAGCAGAAGAAATCAGCACTGTGGATAACTTCAATACCAATTCTGGAGCTCTCAGTTTTTGACCCAGTTGTGTTTATGGACCTTAAAATGTACCCTCTGCATTTTAAACAGACTAACTAGATGTCTCTCCCTGATTAAGCATAATTCATCTCCTATATATCATTTTGCAAAATAATAGTGCAAGGGGCAATTAGGTTGGGAACAGAATCAAACATGAATCACAAAAAATACAGAGTGTCCGACTGGTGTTTTATCAAAAGGTGTCTCTTCCTTGAAATTTACAGAAGCTGGATTCATGGACCAAACTTTTAACCACATTCTTGTCGTTGTTTTTGAGCCATCTTAAACAGCTGCTCTTAGGAAGTGCTTGTTATTGCCTCAGAAAGGTGATTACCTTGCTTGAAATTGTAGATTCAGCTCTTGGCCTCTAGAGGAAAGAGTTTTGCTGTGGACCCCAGGTGCTGCAGATGCTGATATCCGTGGAAGGATCAGGGATACTCCGCGGCTGAGCTCCACCTCGGTCTGCCCAGGCCCTGGGGAAGACGTGGGAGTCAAATTTAGTAATCATCACCCCTGCACCATTGTTTTTCCCTCAAAATTATGAGAGAACTATTGTTTTTAATAAATAGCAATGTTGTTTTGTCGTTTGCAAAGTATAATATGAACGAACCTTGAAGACATACAACACAAGATAAATTTACAGCTGAAGGCTCCAGTCTTTCTCCAAAACTCAATGTGTAGCTCTTTCCTTAAGCTGAGGTACAGGCCATATTCAGGCAGTGAAGATGACCATTCAGGTGTAATACGAAACTTGAGGATCACTGGAGAGGCTGTAAATGTCAACTGATATTCCTTGGAGATAAAAAAGCGAAAAGAATTCATTCATAATTAATCCTCTGCAGCAATTATACAAGGGATGGGCAGTAGAGAAATGCCTGAGAGCCAAAGCCATGCTTCAGTGGGATATAAGCTAGCAGTTTTGCAGTGTGGCTGTACACAGCATAGATTCCACTGAAATCAGGGAATGGTGGCCATCCCAGAGCAGGCATCACATCAGCTGTGGCTCAGGAGACCTGGCTGTAAGAAAATTCGAGCCCCTCCAGGTTATTGTCCCCAGACCTATATCAGTTCTCAGGAAAAGGGTGACATCAGTTGTCCTTATTAACGTGTTTGCTAGATGGAAGAGCTGCTGTAACGCTCCGTCCTCTTCACTTGACTGATGTTCTCAGTTGTGTTGCAGATGAACGCCACAGCTCAGCTGTGTTTCACCTCCTTGTGTATTTTCCGTGCAGAGGACTGCAGTGCTATTTTAACTCTTTGCTGCTTTCATACTTCAAAAACACATCATCAAGAAAAAACTATGTTGAAGAGCAAACTGCCTTCTAACTGTCTTAGTATCTTTTATCACTCATGGTAACTCATAACACACTCACTTGCTGCACGTGTTAACTTTACGTTAACGCCATTTACAAACGATGGGAATAAATCCAAATCCAGTGGAGAAAGTTTCCCTCTGCTCACATTTCCATACAGGGGCAGAATTATCACCTTGGAAAGAACTTTCCTCTACCATCGGTAGATGCAAAAGAAAAATCTAACATACAAATGCTTGCCACACCACAGTACACAAAGCTACTGCTTTTAATTAGTTAGGCTGAGGTCTTTTCAGTTGTTCTCTTTCTAATGAGGACTGTGAGGTGTCTCTGAACTAGCTACAGACTTGAAAGATGTAGTAAACAAGGATTATTTATACTATTTCTGGTAAAAGCTTGTCCTGACAAATGCCTTCTTCCTCCTGAGGTTTAGACCACAGTTTGATCTTTTTTTTTTTTTTTCTTTAACCTCTGAAGCATTTCATAACATGATGGGCAAAGGCCCAGCAGTAATTAGCCTGATTGAGCGTTGGAAGTGTGGACAGAAGAAATGGTTGGAAATCATTGCTATTCTCAGAGCTGACACTGCCGGGCCCTTAGGTCTCAATCATTACAGCCCACATTTTTGAGAGGCCCTGTCCAGCAGTCTTGATGCATACCGACCTTGGGTCCTGCTGGAGCTTGGACACTTTTTGCCAAGATATCCACGCAAGCTGTGCTGCCTGCCACGACCCCCGGGAAGAAATCAGCTCCTCCCTACTGCTGCTTCAGCGTCATGCCTGCAGAAGGAGGGAGGGAAGGAGAGGAGAACAGGTTAGCACAGTGGCAGTGTACAAACTGCCAGGTGTCACTCACGTGTACTGAAGAGGAAATCTTATTTTCCAAAAGTTTCCATTGTGACATACAAAACACTGAATACTTCCAAATCTGGGAGTGATAGCCTGGCATGGTGCCCTGGGTCATGTCTTACATAAAGAGTTATTTGTCTCCTGTACAGTGCTCTTTATCCTACTTTTACAATTAATCACCAAAGCTGCCTTAAATCATAACAGCCAGACCTCTGTATGACTGTGATTGCTCTTGATTAGCTCAGGGACCCCTTCCTATTCCTCAGGTTTCAGAAGCTACCGAAACATTTGTGTTTTCCTGATGGCTACCCACTTGCAGCCCTCTTTACGCTAACTGGATTATCTGCCAGGTTTTCTAATGCATATGGCATGGTGGCCAGGGACCTCCAACAGGTATATTGTCTGTTTGAGAGACAATTATATGCCTGAGAAAAAAGCTGAGTGATACTGTAGCTCTGAAGGTGCAAGATCATCAGCCATGAAGGCCTTCTAATTATGATGAGCACACACTCAACAGCCTCTAGATAATTTATGTGACTGTTAAGCTGGAGAGGACCATTTCCATGTGTCAGGGCTGGTTCAGTCTCCATCCATGCTGTGAGAAGGTGCTCATCTGGTCCTGGGTTGATAGCACTGCCCTGCTCAACCGAGGCTTGCGTACATCCACCCGTCAGCACAGGCAGTCTTTGATGTCGCACCAGCCTGGAAGAGATTCGAGTGAGCCATTTGGACTGTGCTAGCATTGCCATCGAAGCATGCATTTGAATTTCAAATTTTGACAGAGCAGTTCTACCCAAATTTTCTGCTAACAGCTATACAGTCCAGCCTCTTTGCTGTTTCCCAAGGAGGAAGGCTGGAGATGTGCATCCATCCCATAGAGACCTGGGGGAGGAATGCTGAGGAAAGCCTCTGTGCTGACTTGAGGGGACCAAAGCATCTGATCCTCAGTTTAAGGGTGGCTCTGACCAGGAAACCAGTCAGAGCCAGCATTCAAGCTGAGGGAGGCAGCTCTGAATCCCTTTAGTTGCCTTGTTCCCCGAGGTTTATCATAAAGAAACCTAGTTATAATCATCCCTGCTCTGCCTAAAGCTTGATGGAGCAGGTTCAGATGGCCAGTTGCTGTGAGTTTTCACTGTTGCAGACAAGCAGTTTAACAGGAAACTTTGCAAGACAAAACATATATCCCAGAAGCCATTTTAAGCCATTCTGAACTTCAAAGAAATTCAGTTGCAAAAGTCAAAGGAAAACTAAAACGTACAGACTGATGTGCAACCACAAGGGAAGGAAAGGTGGACGCTAATATTGAAATACCTATAAACTTCAACTGTTTTTCAGCAATGTTATATCTCTAATGGGAGAAGGAAATAAGGAAGCATACAGCCTCTTAGTCCAAATGAAAGCTATATTGAGTAATTAAACTTGCATTTATCAACACAGATAGCCAGCACAAAAAGATCAGTGTGTGGGGGTTTTTTTCATCACCTATCCAATAAAGGCCTTTTGGCTGACATTTTTGTGACAAACACCTCATTGGAAACTCAACTTCACTAAAATAATAAAAAAAAATAAATCTCTGCTTAAAGCACCACATCCTCTTTACTGCAGCCAGTGTTTTACTGCTATATATTGGGGCATACTGGGCAGCTTATTTTCATTCAGAAAAATCAAATAAGCTTTACCAGTACAAGAACTCTCTCCAGCAGCAGAACTGCAGCTGCTGTAATGCTAGCACTAGTGTAATTAGAGAGGTCAAGAATCAGGTAACACCACCAACATCACTTTTTTTTTTTTTTTTTTTTTAGTGTTAGATAAAGCAAAGTTAAAAGTTGGACATTGGGGTTAAAAGTTAAAAGTGAAAAAAGTTAAAGCTGCTGAGGTTAATGCACTGGGGTTTCTGTATGGTTTTTATTTGTGCTGTGCTCTTGCGCCCTGTGCCAGGTACTGCATGAACATAGCAAACCATGATTTTTGCCTGGAATTCATGAATATTCAGTTGTGGGCAGCTTTAAACACCAAACTGAGTTGGGACATAGTACATGGCAGTATAATTTGTTGGAATAAACTGGCCTACTGGAGAACAATATTTTGAAAGATTTTAAATGTTTGGGGAAAGAACTGGCAAAGCTTGCAATCCATTTCACTCTTCCCATCATGAAGTAACCTATCATCAAACACTGGCTTCTAAAACAAAATCTGGCAGATTATAAATTTACCACATTATGTCTCCCAATCTGCTTTCTTAGCCTTTCTGTTCCTCAAATGTTGAGGCTGCATCGCATTTTCCCTACTATTCTGAGAGAAGAGAACGCTTTGCCAATACGCTCCTTATTTTTGGTTATTTTTAAATCCCTGCAAAAGCTCACACTTTCTTCTGTAGCCAATGCCTATTGTTTATGGAAGCAGTTCCAATTTACTTTCTATAAGAAAAAAATAAAAATAATAAAAAAAAAAATAATCTACTGCCTCGAAAGCACTGCAAGTATTTTCATTGTTCTCCTGCATTGTTTTGCTTACAAAAAGGAATTCTTTGGAACCGCAGAGGCATTGAGTCTCGTTCGCTCACTCTTTTTCACACCCCCCCCTCCCCACTCTGAAATAGTGGCTTTCAGGCAGTGACCTTTCTTTCTCGGAGGCCAGCTTGTTATTTTGGGTTGGATTTCCCTGCCGATTGTTCTGCGTTTCCTCCCGTGCTGCCCCGCGGTGAGGCCGCTGCCGCCGTTCCCGGCGGGGTGACCACCCTGAGCTCGCAACCCAACCGAGCACAAAGCCCGGGCACTCTCAGCTTGCTGCATGTCACCATGGGAAGAGTCAGACTGCTGGCAGCCTTCCCTGTCTTCACATGGATGGACAAAGAGCCATCGGTTGCTCATAATAGCCACAAATTATAAAAATCCAGCAAAGGCAGTCATTAGCCACCACGTACGCATAGAACGTAACCATCATTCCGATGCTAAGAAGAGCAAGAGCAGCTCTAGAAAGCTCTAGAAAGCTGCTCTCAAAGAGCTTCGTCCATGACTGTCATAGTAAGTCCCACATAAAAACCCAATCTTAACTTGTGTGCCTAAACAGCTGACGCACTTCTCTGCATATTACCCAATGGGCATGTCATCAGGTGTATGATCTCTTTCTCTTCACAAGGTTTTTCCTTAATATTACAAACCTTTTGGAATGACTTGCTGAATCCATCCCTTTTTGTACAGTACCTCTGCAGGACCTGAACTAGTTTGTGTCACTATATAACAGTGAAAGAAAGAGCATGAGACACATAAGCCTCAGTGTGAGCCTTGGAATTAGTAAAATTTTCTAATATAATCTTTAAACAAATATCTTGGCTTCTCTAAACAGACAGGAGCAAAGCCCAGACACGTAATTTTTCTGTGTTGTTGTAAAATACAGATTTACTGTGCTGAAGGAGATCATCTTGAATTCTATACGCTGCCACTGAGCCTGGCAACAAATTCTGTCAAAAAATAAACTGATACATCTCAAATACACTTAGCAGCAAAACATGTACATCTTGATTCCTTGAGGACTGCTGCAGGTCTAGGAATCTGGAGCTCTGAGGAAACAGGCTTTATTTTGGAAGCAACATGTTCTGGTGTATTCATAAGAAAATATTCTCAGGAGTTCCTGTTCACTAGAAGTTTGAAAGCTACTCATTTCGGTCTGATTCAAGATGCAGCCCGACTGTGAAGAGACAAGGTTTCTTGGCTTCTTGTGAACTTGAAACCCTGTTTTTCAGCCAAAGCCCTGCTCTCAGCTTGCGTGTACAAGGCGCAGAAATAACTAGTGGAGTCTTCTAAAGACTCATTTCATTTTGAAGTTGTTTATATTTCAGAGTTCAAACTGGGACAAAGTGCATTCTTTCACCCAAGATATTTGTAAAATTTTTCACTTCTGTTTCTTTCCCAATAATAGTTTCCATCTGCCACTGACTGCAAAAAAAAAAAAAAAATATCCAAATTTTGAAAAATGCTTACCTATTTTTACATCCATTTTGTAGCTTTGCAAGCTCTAGAAAACTGACAGAAGTGGTAGAAGAGAAACAAAGATAATTCTAATATAACCTTTTAATTGTCTTGTACTTACTTCATGGGGAGGTGTAGTAGGATGCTGAGAACCTATGCTAGTCAAACTCTCAATGCACTCCACTAACAGTATAGGTAAAGCTTTAAATAATTACAAAGTGAAAAAAAAAAAAAGATAAAATTAAAACACCCGCCCCCCCCGAATCCTCCAACCTTGGCAAACATCTACTGTGTTCAGAAACAGAGTGTGAGACAGAAGGAAGGTGACGAAAAGGATTAAAAACAACATCTGAAATTTCAAAATGTTTTCTAAAAATTGAAACAAGATAAAAATTTAAATTTAAGGGAAATATTTTGCAGCACTAAATGCTTTTTATACAAAAGTCTATGGTTTGCAAGATAAATGTTTAAGACACAAATGTTGGCCATCTGTAACCGCAGCAGGGAGCTAGGCAGCAAGATGGAAAAGGTGTCGTGGCAAATTGCCTTTCCTCCATCTCGAGTGCCACATTCAGATGAGCTGGCCCATGTCCCAGAAGCACCAATGCCATATTTGTGTTGTGAAAAATGCAAGGTGCTCAGCCTGTGAAAAGAAGTGTCTTCCCAGTAGCACAGCCATACCATTTCTTGTGTCCACACTAGCTGTTCCAGAACTACTTCAATAATATACTTGTCATTGCATCCGGAGTGAAAAATTTCCTTATCTCTATTTCTGCTTATAGACAAATCACTTTTTGCTCCCTGCAAGTAATTTGGGCTACAAATACAGGAATATGCTACCTAGAAGTAAAAACGAAAATAAATATTTATAAGTGGTTCTCATGCAATTGTATGTGTGCTATTTGTGTGTGTTTGTGTGTGTCTGAGCACAGACAAGTATAAATGCACACACATCTCTATACAATGGTTGTGCATGTTCAGTGGTTCTGTTTCAGCACACCTATATACTCTGATGTTCATTGTATGAAAAAACGTGTGGTTCTTATTTTAAAACTCTATGAAATCTCTGAAAACATAAAAGCACCTTTGCCTCACTTCAGAGACTGACAGAAGACATCTCCCCTGAACTCACTTTATCTAGAAGTGTGTATACTCAGAATGTATGTAACACTGTTCATGTGAGACACTGTTATCCAGAAGTACTCCAAAGTTTATTCTGAGCTATCTGATAAGTATTAACTTCCTTCTTCAACCCCTCTTTTAACCAATTCTTAACACATCTTCTCACCCTCTCATCGATCCCTCTCCCTGGCAAACTTCTTATTCATCTCACTAATGAGAGGCAGATTGATTTCTATCGTTTCACCTTCAGCTGACTTATTGATGCAGGGACTGTCTAGAGGGAGGACAATTACCATTTGGTGGCAGTGGCAGAGAAACTAAATTGAGAGGACAGAGACGTACGCTTCAGTACTTCATGCTCAGCTGCAATCTGAGTTGCAAGGAAGTTGGGGCTGTGCTGATTTACACAAGTTGAATATCTTTCACCTTAATTATGAGGATTTTTTGACTACTAACGCTGAACTATAAACTGGTCATAGCTTCATGCAACAGTAAGTTTGGTCTTTGTTTTAAAATGAATGACTGTTTTTTTTTCAAAATAGGAGATTATCTGCTAAATGATTACATACCTATATACATGACAAAAGATTAGCACCTTCCATACATACTTTCCCGTCAGTGTTATTCTTATATGCCCAGTCACCTCCGCTGGCCCACTCTGAGATGTGAGCCGTGAGAAACGCAGCTGTTGAGTTATAGGAAAAGTTAAGAAAGTGATTTAGAGGGCACATCTTTCCAGCAGTTCAAAGACTGTTCAAACAAGTTTAATACTGTTTCTTCTTTCTCTCTTTTTTTTTTTTTTTTTTTTTTTTTTTTTTAATTCAATCTTAGGTGCCTTTTTTCTCTTTTTCCAGGAGTACATGTTAAAGGAAGGTCAACCAATCATCAGGCTGTCTCTCATTTTCTATTAGCCCAGGCCTACTTGAAGAGATGATATATTTGACAGATTTTAGTTTGGCTCTATCACTCTGCATTTCCCCCCCTTTTTTTTTTTTTCACTCTGCACTTATGATTTGTGATGGGTAAATCTCAAAATATTAGGAGTTCGGCTTGGATAAGCAACTGTATGTTTGAAGTTTACTTTTTGATTTTAAGTGATCACGGTCACTGCAACAAGTATATGTATTATAGGCCTTGAATTCATGGGATTTGGACGACCAAAGACTTTGGCATGCTTCAGGAAGAGTAATGGTTAGTAACTGCATTTCGCAGGAGCAACCAGTCTAGTTACAGTGCCCAAAAGTTAAACATGCCAAGAGGATTAATTGAATTTCAGTGGTGTCAGGAGAAATGAGAGCTGAAGGCATCAGTGGATTGTTCAGCTTTGGAGCAGGTCTCAGATGCTTTATCCCATGTAAAGCTTAAAGGCTTTACCCTGTGGATGCTCTGGCCAGACATGGGGTGGGAGGTAGAACTGAAGACTGTGAATGCTCTATAGATGGTGTCCTTACAGAAATTAAAATGTCTATACAGCCTGAATGGACCAGTAATTGGAAGGCATGTATATTGTCCTCTGGGCTGCAGAGTGCACTCTTAGCTCACCCTCCCTTCAAGACAGTATTATTCTTAGTGTGGAAACGTTAACTGTGATTCTTCACTGACATTTGGCACCACTTTAAAATCAACTTTCCATAGAGATAGATCAAGTCCAGAATTGGCCTTGACTGTATTTTCTCACTGAGAAAGCAGACAGGAGATGAAAATCAACATTTAATCCTGTTGCATGCTTTACCAAAGCAAAATACAATGCCTATCTGGAATGTAGCATCTCTCTTTTTATTTACCTATGGTATGCCTGCGTATAACTGTGACAAGTATGTTCTTGCTCTGTTTCCAACTACAATAGCATCACAGAAAATAGTTCTAATGAACAAAACAAATATAACTACTTTTCTTGTAAAGTTTTACATTAGCTAAAAAGATTACTATGGGCAACAGAAAGGCTCGATTAAAACTAGGGTGGTTTTGATGAAATTTTGCTTTGTCAGAAAAATTCTCATCAGGAGGCTAATGAGGGTCTCTGTCTTATAAGCAGGAGTCAAGCAGTTTACAAGTGTTTGAGATTTATGTGTGCACACCTGCACAAGTTCAGGACGTAAGCATTTTGGGGCAGGAGTAGGGTAGATGTTACTGAAACTGTCCGTGGACATCTAAAGTGACAACAGAGATACTGCAGTTCTTTCATGAGAAGGAGATCATTTCTCTAGTGCAAGTAAAATGAGCGCTGAGCTCTTTGGAAGATCTGGCCTATAAAAGTGGTACAAAAAAAAAAAAAATTGTTTCCTCAGATGGGTGGTATGAGGCTTGGGGAATGAATGTTTGTGGAGCACTCGGACCCTGGTATGAAAAGGTGCTGTAAAAGTTCAAAGTATTATTGTTATGGCATACTTACTCAGCAAGGCAGGGAAATATCAAAGGCTTTCTTCTCCCATCTGGCTCGGTCTTATCTCGAGGAACTGTTGGTGGGTGGTGATTGCTCTCAGGGACTGGTGATGACAGAGGAGTGAAGGCACTAACCTCACTTGCAGAGCTGCTCTGGGCACCCTCCTGGATCAGCCACGGCCTCAGTTCCTCCTCGGCACTTCTCGGTGCGCACACACCCTGTTCCCAGAGAAAAGCCTGGAATGAAAACAGAGAGCTCTGACACCTGGCTAATGGAGGCACTCAGGCAAGGGCTTTCACTTGTGACTGGTACATTGGGAAATAATTGATACAAATTGCCTCAGACACTCACGGCTGCTGGTTCGCCTTCCCACAGACTATTTTTAGGCCCAATTAGGCAGATAAAATGACACCGGAATTAATTTGTACGCTCTAATGTTTGGGCTTGCCTTTTTTTTTTTTTTTTTTTTTTTAAATGCTTCTATCTATATATATGGTAAATGTCTGAATTACAGAAAAACAGATAAAGGGATTCCTCCCTCCCTCCCCCCCAGTAACAGATATTCAAGCACCGAAAGACACGCTCACTGCAAAACCACTTAGGGTTAATTGCAGGGGAGTTTGCTCTCACCACCTTAAACCCAAAGCAAATAACAGAATATGAAATAACACATATTCCTGGCACCAGGCTGCATGAAGGCTCCCCCAGGTCTGCTCCAATGCAAAGGCTAGCAACCCACCCATCAGAAAAAGAAAAAATGCAATTAATTAATTCATTATATAAATATTTTGGGTGGGGAGATATGAATCAGCTTATCTGTATTATTATCATCATTATTATTAGCTGCTGCTTTGCTAAGACTGAGTTTTTCAAAGCCTTCTTTCACATTAAGAAGTCCAAATCCCCGTGATAAATCCCACCCTAAATTTGATGTTGATTGCTTTTGCAAGCTACTGCAGAACAAAAGCAAGGGAGAGGAGTACAACTGGTGAGATAGCATTATTCACAGCTGTTATTACTAAAATTTATGGACAAGACATTCCCATGCTATTTGAATGTAATTCATACATTCGGACAAAATGGAGATCCATAAATGCTCTCCAGCAAAGCCCCTGCCTGCGTAACGCTTTCTAAGAGAAGGAGCTATTGTAACTGCAGTGAAAAATGCAAAACCTGACTGCTGGCCTCCGTGGTTATTGCACTGCCACAAACTCCTCCAAAATTGTAAAGCTCCCCACTCCTCTGGAACAGGCAAGTCATGAACTGCACCTTCTGCAGCCAGGCTTGCAGGCTCAGAGGCTGGCGATCAGAAGGGTGAAACGTTGGCTGTGTCAAAGGCAACAGGAGTCTTGCCACTGACTTCAGTAGGGGCAGCATTTTGCCTTTGTAGTATAAGCCGATGAAAAGCTCTGCCTCATAATCACATTCCTGTGGCTTGACATGTAAGCGCATGTTGGCTGTGCGGTGGTGACTGCTCATGTGCATATTTCTCAGCCTGCAGGACATGTCAGCAATGCCACTTGCTCTACCCCACAAGAGGAGAAAGGTAAAGAAGTTGGGTTTTTTTTTTGCATTTGCCAATGTGCGGGGTTTGTGGGATCAGCTACCTCGGTGTGTCTGATGCGCAATAGCTTGATTGTGACCGAACCCTCGGCAACCTGAATCTGAGACTTGATGGTAGACAGTGATGAAATGTCATGTGTTTATGAGACAGGGGACTGACCCTCCCGGGCTGGGCTGAAATGGGGTCTTGGGCCATTGACAGGGTGGGGGGAGCCCTAGGGAGACTGAGCAGGGACTGAGCAGTGTCCTCAGGGCACTGACACGAGCATCCTAACCTCAGGGGAACAAGCGCTTCATTTTCTGATGTAAAGACATCACTAGTTCATAGTATTTCAAGTGGAGGTAAGCCACAGGCAGCTCTTATTTTGGTATCTCATATGTCACAGGCCCAACATTTCACTGTAATACACATACACCTTAATTCACTGTAACTTCATATTAAATACAATAATTTGAGCCTGACTACATAAACAAAGCTTCAAAAAGTATCTGATACTGAGGAAAAAAGCCACCTCAAATAAGCCAGCATGAATGAAAATTTGTTCTACGTTAGTAGTACCTTTTGTGGTATCACACATACTAGTTCTCCCTTAATTTCTTTCCAAAGGAAACACATACAGAACATTTGGGTTTGAGAGTTTCTTCTCCCCTGTATCTCTTAAACATGTCTCAGCACTAGGATGGCTGGTGACAGAGGACTAATTAGGGTTTCCCAATAATTAACTACAAATCTGGGGCATAAAAAACCTAAAATATCACCAGATGCTCAATAGTAACTGCGTCGAGGTGCATTTATTTTAGACAATCCATGCTGTAACCTTACCTCAAAATGTTACTACTTACATGAAAAAAAGTGAGTACGTCCTGATCCATTGAAAAAGTCCTTTAAAGTCTAGTTTCTAAACCTAGAGTCTTCACAAGGTACTTTTCCTATTTCCTCTTCTAAAAGGGGTCACAGCTATTGTGAATGCCTGCCTCATCGCATACTTCCTTAGCTGACATCCAAGCACCATATTAACCTTGGTATCTCCGCCTGTGTTGAACTCTGCTTTGCAGTAGATCTTGCCATACCGTCTTTGTTCAATCCCAGCTGATGGTGCAGACATCCAGTCAGACGAAGATCTTCCCTCTGAAAACAAATAAATACCAAAAAACAAAACAAAACAACAAAAAAACCCACACAATATTTGTTAATACTAAGTTTTCAAAGACTTACAGGAAACACTGCAGTTGATCAGTCTTCAGCAAAGACTCTACCAAGATGATGAGCCATTAGGGAAATACAGAACTTCTAAAGTGGCAAAAACGATATTCTCACAGGCACAACATTGAAGCAGGTTTGCCTTCTGTTCTGTAACATAGATAACAGATTCTTCAAAAACCTCAGCTCTTAGCAGCTCTGTGGCAGGACATCACTGCAAGGTCATTCACTTGAACACAGCACCAAATGCTTGCGTCATACCTCTGAGAAAGGAGATGAGATTGAGCATAAGGATTGTGTAGTGCACCTAGCTTTGGGTTTATGGGGTCAGTCCAGATTCAGCACTAAAAGCTGCATCTCGCTGGGAAAATCACTTCTCCACAGTCTCTCAAGAAGCCTTTGTAAGAAGGGACAACGGAGAGGAGAAGAAAAAGGAAAAGCTGCTGTAAACATCTGAAATGTTCAAAAATAAAGTGGTTTATCTGTAATAGCATTGTGTTGACAGTATGTATTTATTTGTGCAAGCTTTCTTGACTTTTCTAACAGAAATTACTCCAAAGGAGCCAACACTTTGCTTCAGTCTCACTTTGTAATACCCATAAACATACCAGAGATGAAAGGTACCTGGTTGAATTTGGGTAAAAATAGATGGGATTTTGAAAAGCAGTAAGAAATGCCTGGGAAAAGTGACCTACATATGGTCTTAATCATGCCAATGGATAACCCCCACATTACCCTTTAAAAGGTCATCTGATAAACATCAACATTGGGTTTTTCTCACAAACCCAACACCTAAAATTGCTTCAGGCTACTGTAATACGACATGAGAAGTTAAATTAGAAGCATATATTTGGTAATAGCACCTCTGAGAGGGAGTCTTCAAAAGCCTGTGCCCCCATTAAAGGATTAGAAGACCAGCATACATATCAGCAACTACACTCCATCCAAAAAGAAACAGAACAGGAGACAGAAATCAACATTCTGTTCTGATTAGCTGCTTTTGATTGATGTAAATTTCTTAATTACTTTTTTTTTTTTTTTTTTTTCATTACACTGCTGCAACCATTGGGGAATACTATAAAGAATACTACTATGAAATAGCACTTTCAAGCTTTCCCCTATCTCTTGTGGGTCCAGTGGTGATCTTTCCAGAATACACGTTGGTGGGGCACAGAAAATAAAGCAGTCTCCAAGGAGCTGATAGTCTAGGGTTCAATTGTTTTCAGGAGTACTCACAATACAAGTTACAGACTTGGAGATAAAACCATTCGAGAGTAAGAATGGGGTTGTTAAATATTTCTGGAAATGTGATAATTCTGTATGAAACAATGGAAAAGATATTAAAAAAGAAGCAAGGGTAATTAGAGTCGGTACATTAAAAGCATTGCGTTTGTATTTAAGCATCTTCCCTTCCGGAAACAAATCCATCCGATTTACCCGAGTTGTAATATTTTGAAGTTATCTGCCCCAAAGGCAGGCAAGAAATAGGTCTGATTGTCCAAGAAATAAGGATGAAGGCAAAGGGCACATCCTAAGAAATGAAGACTGGTTGAGAAATTAGAGGACTGAAGGTGAAATAAGTTCTCTGTATCAAGGTCATTGATGAGGTTGGGATATTTTTAAACTGGGGAAGAAAACCCTAACCAAGTGTTTTTTGACTTTTGGTGGGTTTTTTTCTTGCACCTGATTCAAAGCAGGCCAAGTTCAGTGAATCTCTTTGCTCATCTAAATAGAGGTCTGAATTATGCTAGCACTTGCAGGTGTTAAGAAAGGCTAGATGAAAATGGAAATTTGCTCCCATTTAGGTAGCCTCTTGCAGCTAGTCAGAAAAGTCTCTGAATACAGGTTTTCATGTATTTTTCCTAAAAATTTCCTATTTATTTCATCCCCATTTCATCTTTTCAGCTCGCACTTCAGCAAACACTGTTTTCTCTACAACTCTTGCCCAAGAACAGAAGATCAGACTGTGCTCCTTCTCCTTCATATTTCATTCTGACCATGGAGGATTTGGGGGCATACAGTCTTAATTTTCAAGTCTGTTCAAGGTGAGCAGGACATGACAATAGTGGCCTTGCTCTTTCACAGACACAGTGTCTCTGAACTTGTAAATTATCTGTCTCCAAAGTCCTAAGTAATCCTCTTGGGTTCTCTGTCCTGGACTCACGAGAGGGGTAGAGTAGTTCAATTAAATTTTCTTCCCCAGCTCCCACTGAAGAGGAAACATTTCTGAATCCATTTCTCCCAGTGTCTCTGTATTTAACAGGTCCTGCCCCCACAGACTCCTATCTTAAGAGCATACAAGCAGAAGCAGGCTGCTGCAGCAGGAATCCAGAAGCTGGAGCTGTCAAACCAAGTCTTATTAGATACCAAAGGGGCTAATAAAAGAATGGGTGTTTGTTGTATTTCTGGCAGGGATGGTTGCTGAAAAGCCTAGAGAGAAGGATCCCGAGACACCTCAGCTCCTAAGTTCTGATGGATGTATTTCCAGTTGATCAATCTCTAGGTCTTTGTGGCTGAACTAACTTCC